GTTTCTCTCCACTTGTTAAAGAAAGATGTGAAGCCTTCATTCTCCTTCTACTTGAGAATTTCAAGTTCTCTATGGTCAGTTTCGACTTGAACGTTGCACTTGTATCTATCAACGAAAGCGTTTTCTATGGATTCCCAGGTAGAGGCCTTTTCTTTTTCAAGAGAAAAGAACCATCGTTGGCAAACGGTCTCAAGAGATAGCGAGAACAGAGAAGGGAAAATTTTCTTATGGATACCCTTGATACTCATTATTGTTTCAAATGCCCTTAGATGGAAGTAGGGGTTGTCGATTGCCCTAAACTTTGGGATGTCGTTGGCACTGAACTTCTGCGGAAGAAGATCGTTATCCACCGAGACCCCTTGGGATGTGAGTTCTTGAAACTTGTAGTCGCTGGACAACTTGCTTAGGCTTTCTTGCATGAGGTCCATTTGTTGTTGCTTCGCGGGATCCTCGATCTTAAGTGCGAGAAGCTTTAGTGTCTCAGTTACAGTAGCCAATTGGTTTTTGAGATCGTTAACTTCTTCCTGAGTTGCCATTATAACTCTTGCTTTCCTCTTGCGAGCTATAGGTTTGTCGAAAAGTTGGACTTGTACGAAGAGGTTATCTTTGATTAATCGTCCTTCCTTTCTTGACCACGCGCTGAACTTCCGGCAGAGGTTCATTCACAGGTTGAATGAGTATTCACGGGTCAAAGGAGACTTCATCTCCCACGATAGCCAAAGCATCAGAAAGAGGACATGTTTGAATGTTAGGCTTCTTGCCCCCTGGAGGGACAGGAAGTTGATTAGCATCAATTAGGTCTTGGATTGCATCCTTCAACCTCGAACACTTCTCAGTATTATGACCCTTGCCTTGATGAAACTTGCAATAAGCATTGGGATCATAGCTAGCGGTCCTATTCTCTGGTCGAGGTTCTGGAAATGGTCTAATTGGCATAATCAATCCTTGACCATGCAAACGGTCATAAGCAGCATCATAAGTCATTCCCAAAGGCGTGTAAACCCTCCTTTGCCTTTGGAAATTTTGAGGAGGAGCATTAAGGGCCAGCACATCATTGATATTGATATTGTTGGTAGCATTATTGGGCTCGGAAGATGAAGAAGAAGGAGTGTTGTTCTTCATGTTTTTCCAAGTGCTGTTATTACTATTGCTACCAGCAGTCTTCATTAGTTTATCCTCGATATTGATTCCAATATCGTATACAGCTTCAAAGGTACTCAGAGGCAGAAACTTCAAGTGTTGCTTGTACTTATGAGTCAGATTGGCAATGAACAAGCGAACCATCTCCTTTTCCTTAGGGGGATCCACCAAGAGTGCGGCTGTTTCCCTCCACCTGCTTAGGTATGTGGTGAAGCCTGCATTCTCTTTCTGTTTGAGAATGGAGAGTTCACGTTCAAAAGTCTTGGCCTGAATGTTACACTCGTAATGATTCATAAAGCTTTCAGCAACATCCTCCCAGGTCGCGACATGTTTGGATTCCAAAGAGTAAAACCATTGTTGACAGGCATGCTCCAAGGAAAGAGGGAACACTGTAGGGAAGAGTGTCACATATACTCCCTTAAGAGTCGTGGTCGCAGAAAAAGCCTTCAAATGGAAAAGCGAATTATCAGTAGGCTTGAATTTGGGAATGTCAGCAGTGGAAAACTTCTAAGGAAGTTTGTCCCTTATGGACGAAGAGGTGACAGGCTGTTCCACATAAGTGAATTCTTCAGAAATTTTGCTCATCTGTTCCTTAATCTTGTCCATTGCAACGATAGTGACATTGTTTTGATTGTCTTGCTCTACCGTGCTAACTCTAGTGGTGAGTGTCTGCATCATGTTAGACATTTTTTCAATTGTCTTGTTGAGGTTCCCGATGTCTTCCTTAGTAGCCATTGGTTGAAAGTAGACTGGAGATGGATCTTGTGGAAATGATTGAGGTGGTTTCCTTGTACGCCTCTTTGGTATAAGAGGTTGTTGAGGTATTGACTCAAACCGTAACAAGCTACCCCTGCTTCTTGACCAAGTGATGTGACACCGAAACAAACACACCTTTAATGACCAAACTTAACCTTAACCCATACGGAATGATTTTTTTAAAAAAAACTATAATTTTAAAATTCTTATTTGTTTAATTTTTTTTTTAAAAAATATGGATGGATACTATCCAACTTACTCCGGAAAAAAAAAGCGACACAAAAAACTAGACTATCCTAAAATACAGTCAAAAAGTAGTGCAGGACTAAGGAAAAAAGGGTGTGAACACAATATGTGAGTGATTAAGTGAGGTTATGGACGCGTGTTTTGACCGTATATCTAGATATGACACCAAACTGGACACAGCATCCACATATGTACGCACAATCAATCGAAAAAAGACTGACAGGACACTTTTCTTGGGCACCGTCTCACGGTGCTGACTGTCGTGACACGGTGCAGTCTACCGTCAGACGGTAAAAAGCCCCGTGTCACGGCACTGTTCACAGTGGCGCGGCACAACATGCCGTGACACGGTGCGCAGTTGTAGGTCAGTTTTGTGATTTTTCAAGATTTTAATCGATTTTAGGTCCATACTAATTACTATGTGAAAATAAAAACCCTCGGTCAAGGGTTAAACAAAAGAGTAAGCACATGAAGGTTAGCACCAAACAACCACATAGTATTTAGGCACGATGATGTAAAAAAAGTTCGCAACCTAGAGTCAAGATCTATGTTCAACTATTGGTCAAGCTTTGGGTGTCAAAAGGGTACCATGGTTAAGAGTTTAGACGCGTTAGCAAGGCAGCCTCCCTTGAGGCTGTATGCCAACAGGCGGCTCTGCGAGTTCGTGATGAAATCAAACTCGACTCCATGGTTTGGGTGGATTTAATGACTCGGATGAACCCTTATTGCCATGAGCGTTTTTGGGTTGATAAAGCTTAAATCCCCCGGGGCTAAGACGCATGTAGAACACATACGTTTATTCATAAAAATCGAAGGAAGTTGACTGTGAGAAGAGAAAATAAGCCACCGGACTGATTTTAGGATTGTCGTGACACGGCAAAAATTCCTGTGCCACGGCAGATTTTTCCGTGGCACGACAGTCAAAAGATCTGACTGGTGCCCTGTTTTCCTTCGTGCGCAACCAAGTTATTCAATTTTTCCTACGGGACAGACCTGAGTGCGACGTTAAAACGTCTATGCAGATGCAAAAATGCCAAATTAATCACAGGAATATTTTTTTTAAGAATCTTTTAAGTCTCACCCACTCATCTTAATTAAATATCGATCACTCAAATCGATAAATAACCAAGTATCCTCCCCAGTGGAGTCGCCAAATTGTAGGCGTCGTTCGAAGTGCGCCTACGTTAAAAGCATGTGTGAATATGCTTGACACTTATAGGCCGTGGGAATTGACATTACAATTAGGGACAAGGAAAGTAGGGAGCCGCCAACAAGTTTTTAAGGAACTTGTAAACCGTTCACGGATCATAAAAGGCAACCACGATAAAGGGACAACGAAGGGAACAATGATTGACCCGTGAAGGTTACACCCCATTCATAATCCATGAGATTACTAACTCTATATGGTTCGGAACCACGAAAGGAGGATCGGGGATGATGGTAAGAAGTGAGTCATGGAGTCACATTCGCCCGTATTGGCCTCTACTCGATTCTTATGGTGAAAAGTGATTTATGTGACCTCAAAGGCATACAAACAAAATATTCAATTTGCTTCAAAATATTATTAGGCTAAATTGGTTGAATATTAATGCAACACATAGTTCTAAAATATTGTGATCACCTGATTTAACAACAAGAGTAAAAAGTATCCTAAACCGGTTGTCCAAATTATCTTATTAGGCGTGATTTTCAATTACATATTCCCTTTAAACATGCAATATAGTGATCAATAAATAATAATAGAATAAACATTAATATTGGAAGCAATCTAGCAATAATTCCAACAATATAAAATTGTTAGAAAAATAATAGAAATAAAAGGAACATAATTCTTACTTTGATTCTGTTTGTTTGCAACTAAAAAATAATAAACGAGTTAGTAACTTCAAGGAAATAATAATAAAACAACAATTAAATTAAATTAAATGAAATAGAGTTGATTTGGGGCCAAACCCTCAAACAGTTCTACCTTTCACGCCTTTGCTTAAGGAAAGAACCACGAGTAAAGTATGGACTCCTTGGAGTAATTGAAGAAGGAATTTTGAAATAAGAAGGGTAGGCTAGTGTTTAGGCTAAAGCATAGAAGAGAGAAAAATAAACTAGAAAATTAATTGATGCCCCGTACATAAGAAATGAGGGGGGGTATTTATAAAGAAAATGTGTTGAGGGAGCACACGGAACCCTAAAATGATAAAAACCCTAAAAAAGTGTGCCGCGACACGGGAAGTCCCACCGTCATACGGGAAACATTCCCATGACACGGTGCATTTTTAGTGTGACGCGGGAAATTTTCAGTAAACGGGGAAGAAAACGCGTTAAGGGTTTACGCGGAAAAGACACGGCATTTCCCGTGTCACGACAGATTTCCCGTGTCACGGGAAAGCCCACCACCAGACGGGAACGATTCCCGTGACACGTTGGGTACCTGCCGTGGCGCGGGAATTCCCAGCCCGCTTTTCCGTCTAAATACATTTTAACCCTAATTTCATTCGGCATTTTAAGTGTCGATTGATAATTTCGGGCCTTTTCTGACTTATTATTATTTGGGGTAAAATAAGAAAATAAGTAAATAAAATAAAAGGTTTAGGCTAAAATTAAATAATAAATTTGGGCTGAAATTAAAGCTATGCTTTTACCAAACATCAAGACTAATCCATGGACTGTTCAAAAATATGAATTTAATCAAATACGATTTTTTAAGCACTCTCGGGATTAAATAATGAACCCGACCAATAGTGGCGGTGAAAGGTTGCTCATCATCGGGTTTGGTTTTGGAGAGACATTTTTAGGTGTCTACAGAAGGATTAGTATAGTCTCATGTCTTTCTCATCCAACCAAACTCAAAGAGATTGGGGGAGGTAGTTGTGGCATCTTTTAGCTCACAATTTGCGTACACTTGAATCCGTTATGTGATTTTTTTGAGTTAGTGGGAGTTAGTATCATACATGCTCTGCCAAGATATGCCTCGCAACCATATTGTTGCTGCTGCCTCACAGGCCCCTTCGAACATAGGATATCTGTTTTCTTATTTTTGTTGATTTTGTTAATCTTTCTTGCATCCGTTATAACTGGGGATTATCGAAAGTTCTAATTCCTAGATTTCAAAAGCTTAACATCAATTTTGTGTCTTGATGTGTTATAATACTACAATTATAACATCTAGAAAAATATTATAATAATGCTTATGATGTTCCGTTTTAATTGGCTACTACTTATTGACTTCAGCCAAGTTCCACTTGAAGGGAGGTTTGTTCATTTTGGTTACCCAATGACAGCGGTGAACTATGTGTGTGGTGAATTGTATTAATTTCTTTGTGCTTTTGTGCTTTTGTGCAGATTTGTGTGTGGTGTTGGCATCACATATTGGATATGGCCTAGAAAGATGAGTCGGAGGAACGCTGCCTGCATATTGCACTACATATGATAAAGACCGAATTATAGGGATGGCTGCAAACTGTGAAAGGTTATTTAACTGCTACAGCCGCTGCCTCGCAGGTCCTGCTGCTGCTGCAGTAGTCGCTGCCTGTGGTGGATATTGGAGCCAATTCTCCACCGGAGCTCCCATCACTGCCACTCTCTTTCCCGGCGATGGTATTGACCCTGAAATTGCCGAATCCATCAAACAGGTCAGTTTCTCTTTCTTCTCTTTGATTTCATTTAATCATTCATTTTTGTTGCAGAATTTTGATTTGATTGTTGAAGTTGAATTGGCTTATATGATTTGTAGATGTATATATGGCGAATTTATTGTATTTTTATTTGAATTTGTTATTGTGATTTTAGGGTAGATTTTTTATTAGTTTCTCGATAATTGTCACATTTTTTTCATAATTGATGTTGTTTAGTAACTCGACATATATTGTTTTCGGAATTGGAACCGGAATTGATTGTGTTATTTTATGTGATTTTCTATTAGAAATTGTTAGAAATTAGTATATGCTATTTTTATTGATTAATTTCAGTAATTAATGGTTTTTGAATTATATAATGGTTGTGCTAAAGATACTGCTACTCTATGATTTATGGATTGCATACCTAATAGTGTTTTCCTTGTGTGTGTGTGATGATCATGGGCTGATTTCTGCAATCTGGTTGCCCTGTTTGGTTTGCAAGGGACATAATTTTGACATAGCAGCTTGCAATTCCCTCGGTGACACCATCTTTTGGTGCAAGTGACTGATCTTTGTTTGAGTGCTTTGTTGTGCGGATTTGGTGCCCTATTTTGTTTGTAATGGTTTTGTGAGTATAATAGTATATGTGAATTTGTTAATAATTTTGGATGTAAACTCATATGAGTATGGGGGCTGTAAAGCACTTGTTTGTGAATTAGAGCTGATGTGATGTGTTCCTATGTGGTATGATTGTAGGTTTGTGTAGAGGCTGCCTTGTGGCTTAAATTTAAATTACGGGGTGCTGTGTGTGAGGAGTAGAGCGGAGGCAGTGAGGGAGTTGTGTGGGGTAAATTGGATTTGAGAATTCCTTTTGCTTGCAAAATAACTCTTACGAGTTGTTATCGTTTTGACAACACTGCTCCTAGAAATTAATCTTAAGTCTAGTACCACATCAACACTTAATGGTAGTGTTACTTTATCATTACTTGCATAGATCTTCTCACTTTCACATTAATATCTTTTTTCTTTGTCAACTTTTGTATAATATTAATTACTTATTATTAATCATTCAATACTTGCGTAGAGTTTACAAGCTCTGCACAAACCAGAGAATCTAAGCCAGTGGCATGGTGTGAGATTCAGGTGGACGCTGCATCTCTGTTCGCTGCTGTTCTGCTACTACGCTGCTGTTGTTCTGCTACTATGCTGCTGCTGCTGCTCTGTTACTATGCTGCTGCTGCTCTGCTAGTGATTGTATGTAGGAAGTTGTTGCTCTTGTTATAGTGAATATATCCAATGTATTTCTTTTTCTTTGTTTTTTGCAAGTGTAAAATTACAGGTTATCAATGAAATTATCAGTTTCAAGTATATTATGAATATATATAAAAGTCTGCTGACAATTTCCAGTGAAAAAAGCAAAAAAAAAATTTTTTTTAGGGCATTTTTGGCACCGGTTCTGAGTAGAACCGGTGCTAATAATTGTGTTATTGCCACCAGTTCTAAACCGGTGGCAAAAACTCTCACTTTTTTGCATCCCTCACATGAACACTGGTTCAAAACCGGTGCTATAGGGGGGTTTTGAACCGGTGCTCTTTTGTATTTTTCTATTAGTGTAACAAGATTAATAATAAACCCTAGCATGTCACTAAACAATAAAAATCAAAGCTTTAGCCCTAACATGATACTAACATCCTATTAAGAAGGAAAATAGGAAGCATCATAATAATCATAATTGATTTAAGAAACTTATTCTTTACCCTAGACATGATACTAGGAAGCATTCTTTTAATTATACTTGATATTAGAAATTACCCTAAACATGATTTCTATATCAAAATATCAATTAAACAATTAAAGCACTTACTTAGATGCCTCGTATCTTTTTCTAATAACAAAATACACACGTTAGTAACTTCAATGAAAATATAATAATCAAATAATTAAATTAAATAATTGAAATAGAAATTTAAGAAAGTTTAGACTAGATTTGGGACCAAACCCTTAGAAATCAAACCTTTCACGTCTAGGGCGAAGGCAACTTCGAACTTGGCTAGGTGTTTCTAGATCTTGTGAATGCGGAATTTAGAGTGTTGTTGATTATTGATGAGAAGAATTGATGATTGAAAACGGAGATTTTAGGAGGCTATTTATAGAGAAAATCAGCAGGATGGATAGAAAAACGAATCAGAGATTCGACGAGAATAAAACTCAATTAGCGCCAGGCGTTGAAGGTTAGCGCCAGGCGCTGAAGGTTAGCGCCAAGCCTTAGCGCCAGGCGCCGAAAATTAGTGTCAAGCGCTAATGGTTAGCGCAAGGCGCTAATAACTGGCGTCAGGCGCTAATAGCCGTTTTAACGCGTTTTCTTAATTTTTATAAAATTTAGCCGTACAGAAGGGAAAAATCGTATTTTCCTTAACAATACTTCTTTCATTCTGATTAAAACTTTAAAAAGTCAACCAAAGTCAATTTATCAATGGTAATTGAATTAGGAATGAAAAGAACTTCTAGAAGATTCTAGAAGACTAAAATAAATTCTAATAGCATTAGGAATGATAAATCAATATTAGGCCCTTCTCTAGATCATTGGGCCGCATATAAAGATCAAACCGAGCCCAGTTTAGTCATTTAGCCATAACTTCCTCATTATTCATCGGAATTGGGCTTATAATATATCGTTGGAAAGCTCTTTTCAAGCCCCATCCAACTACACCTTTATTGGACATTTGCTATGGACCAAACCAAACTGGATTGGCTGTTTTCATAAAATAGGTTTTAAAAAAACAAGGAGAAAGAAAAGAATTAAAAACTATCCGCATCACTAGACTTTACACACTTTCACCTCATTCGATTATGATTCGACGTGAAAGGTATTCATCACTAGGTTTGGTTTTGGGGAGACACAAATGGGTGTCTACATTATGCTTACCGTAAAATTCACATCCAATTGAAATGGAAGATATTGTTGTGGAAGCTCTACCATAATGGGATTGTAGTCAAGGTAAATCTAGCCACAAGGGGCATACAAATAGATGATACCTGTGGCTATTGTGGAATAGCCTCTGAAGACAGCCAACACTTATTCAGATTCTGTAATCTAGCAAAAGAGGCCTGGGAAAACAGTCCCATGCCAAATCCTCTGACTCTGCTGGGTACAATTCTTTGATGAATTGGATCCAATCATATATCATGTTGTTTAATAGCGAGGATGGGACATATTGTATCCGTATTGTTTTATTTATTGCAACTCTATGGGGACTATGGAGAACGAGGAACGAAAGGAGCTGCAATGGTATTAGTGGAGGAACAAGCTTGGTAACGCAATTCATCAACCAAGCAATGCAGGATCATGAAACCTTCACTCTAAACGAAGAAATGTACTACAATAATGAAGGTGAGGAAAGGGTGGGCCTTATTCTTCCTCTTGGTTTTAATCATGTTCAACTGGGGCATGAAAAAGAGGGATTTGAAAACTTCTTGGTAGGGGTAGATGGCTTCTGGGATAAAAGGACTAAGAGGGCAGGAATTGGATGGTTAGTCTTCGGATATGGGGCTGAGACAAGCACGGACAAAGGAGGAAGGCATGGAACGGCAAATTCAGCTCTACAATATGAAGCTTAGGCTTGCCTGAAAGCTATGAAATGGGCTCGTTGTAGACACCTAAAAATGTCTCCCCAAAACCAAACCCGATGATGAACAACCTTTCACCGCCACTATTGGTCGGGTTCAGTATTTAATCCCAAGAGTGCTTAAAAAATCGTATTTAATTAAAGGATAATTTTCAAAAAACCACCGAAAAATGTGTTGAATTTCTAACTAACCACCCAAAAAAAAATTTATTTTAAAATACCACCCATTAAATTAATTTTTTGCTCAGATTCCCACCCAATTTGAAAATCCGGTGGTTTTTTAGCTTGTGGGGCCCACATAACGGCTAGTTTATGCTTTTATTTGTTTTCTTCCCCCGATATTTCCTATAAAAGTGTATTCCTTATTCAATTTTTGCAATTAGAAGCAAGCTTAATTTTGTGTAATTTGGGGAAAAATTTTGTTTAGGAGCAAAAATTGAATAAGGAATACACTTTTATAGGAAAAATCGGGGGAAGAAAACAAATAAAAGCATAAACTAGCCGTTATGTGGGCCCCACAAGCTAAAAAACCACCGGATTTTCAAATTGGGTGGGAATCTGAGCAAAAAATTAATTTAATGGGTGGTATTTTAAAATAAATTTTTTTTTGGGTGGTTAGTTAGAAATTCAACACATTTTTGGGTAGTTTTTTGAAAATTATCCTTAATTAAATTCAATTTTTGAATAGTCCATGGATTAGTTTGGATGTTTGGTCAAAGCATAGTTTTAATTTTAGCCCAAACTTATTATTTAATTTTAGCCCAAACCCTTTTTTATTTTATTGTTTTATTATTTATTTTGGCCCAAACTTTTTATTTACTTTATTTATTTTAGCCCAAATAATAATAAAATCAGAAAATGGTCCGAAATTATCAATCGACTATTAAAATGCTGAACGAAATTAGGGTTAAAAATGAATTTAGACGGAAAAACGGACTAAAATCTCCCGCGTCACGGCAACAGTCCACCGTGTCACAAGAAACCCCACCGTCAGACGTAAACCCTTAACGCGTTTTCTCCTCCCGTCCACCGTGTCACGAGAAACCCCACATTTGTTGTGACACAGAGATTTCCGTGACCTTTCCGCGTAAACCCTTAACGCGTTTTCTCCTCCCGTTCACTAAATATTTCCCGCGTCACGCAAATGTGTACCGTGTCACGGGAATGTTTCCTGTCTGACGGTGGGATTTCCCGTATCACGGTACACTTTTCCGTGTCACGGTATACTTTTTAAGGGTTTTTATCATTTTAGGGTTTCGTGTGTTCCCTAAGCACATTTTTACTCGATGATGTTCTCATGATCGAAGAAGAGGAGAAGTGTCATCTCGACTTCGATCCCTATTCGAACACCAACATTAATGCCATTATAAAGAAGCAAGGGCATTTCCCTGGAACGACCCTCGGGCTCAAAAAGAAAATGGCTGAACTTTGGGGTCATCCTGGTGCACTCAAGAAAGATACCTTTGGCTTGGGATTCAAGCCAACAAAAGAAGATGTGAAACAAGCCCTCTTGAAAATGAAGGCTCGCAATAACGCTGGAATCATGAAGACGGAAATGGCCATGGATCCATATCCATTCACTCTCAATGGCCAGTACATCAAAGAAGGGGAAGACTTCCCATGCTATGAATTCCCGGAGCCTTTCGCCCACGATGGGAAACGTGAACCAAGATTCGAGATGTTCCTCGATTGTAACTTTGTCGATGAAGGCGAAGAACTCTTCACAACTAAGAAACCAGCTAGTCTAAGCAGTAATGATCTAAACATTAACCTCCTTTTCGGACTACAAAAGAATGAATCGAAGTCTACCTTCAATGATGATTCCGAGCTCATTCAAGCTGTCATATCAAACAAAGATTTTGACCCCTCCGAGTTAATCGTCCGGGCTGATGATATTTCAAAGGTATGGTGCAAGACATTGAGGATCACTACACCAAGCAGAGAGAAGTTTGAAATAACCCCTGGCGAAGGTCTTATGTTTGATGAGTCTGAGTCGTCTGGGTCCGAGTCTGAGTCTGAGTCTAAGTCTGTAGACGAGTCCTTAGAGTCTGAGGCCAACCCTCTTTCTGCTATAGAGTCCAATCTTGAGTCTCTTGTTGAGTCTTCTCTTTCTAGCCCAAATAATTCCGGTGAGGTCGCAGCTGACCTTGCCCCTCTTGATGTATTCACCGATGAATTCAATAAAATGAGTACCTTTTCTTACGATGTGTGTCATTCCCCTAACCCTGATCAATATTGCTTTGCTAATGATAAAAATGACAAGGAAATAATAAAAGCAATGGAAGAACATGAAAATAAAACAGCACTTATCGAAGATATAGAAACAATTAATATTTCCAATGATACGACTATTAAAGAAGTAAAAATTTTATTAACACTAAGTCAAGATGAAAGCAAAGAGCTAATTAACTTGATTAGTGAATTTGTTGATGTATTTTCTTGTCCATACCAAGATATGCCAGGAATTGACAGGGATATAGCTCAGCATACGATACCACTAATTCCAGGTATGAAGCTTGTCAAACAAAAGTTGCGTCGTATGAAAGCGGGTGTGGCTCTCAAAATCAAAGAAGAAATCAGAAAGCAGTTGGCCGCAGGTTTCATCAAAGTCTCCAAGTATCCAGAATGGATAGCAAATGTGGTTCCAGTTCCAAAGAAGGATGGAAGGGTCAGAATGTGTGTTGAGATTACAGGGACCACAATAAGGCAAGCCCGACAGATGGGTTCCCTCTACCTCACATT